TGCGGTGGAGCAAGCATAATGTTCCCCCTTCACCCTCCTTCCAACCCCAACCTCCCATTAGAAAGCACTTATGACAAGATCTTTGAGAGCTGCAAATCAATCCATCTACCAGATCTCTCTCTTCAGGACTCCAGCACCCAATTTGGTAGCTGCCTAGCTCATTTTTGCCAAGCTTGATATCTTTTAATGACAGACAAATGAGTCCTGGAGATCATCTATACTGGCAACACTATAGAATTTCTTTCCTTTTCCCCTCCAAACCTTCTTCCCCGTCTCTCTTCAGGGGGCTGGTCCACATTGGTGCGGGGGATCGATCTAGGAAACGCAACTTCAGCTACGAGAATAGCGTAGCTGAAGTCGACGTTTCCTAGATCGAACTAAGTTTACTTACTGCGGGTCCACACGGCGCAGGCAAGCTCCCCCGTCGACAGCGCTTCCTCCTCTCGGCGAGCAGGAGTTCCGCAGTCGACGGGGGAGCGCTTCTGGGATCAATTTATCGCGTCCAGATGAGACACAATAAATCGATCCCAGAAGATCGATCTCTACCTGCCGAATCGGGCGGGTAGTGTGGACCTAGCCAGGGACTCTTCTCAGGAGAGGATTCTCAGTCAAGAAGAACGCTCCCTGCACTATCTGGGAACAATAGAACCGGCCTCAACACAGGAGGAAGGTATTTTACTCAGAATACTTCCTCATCCCCCAAAAGAAAGGAGGATGGAAACCCACCTTAAATCTCATATGGTTGAATGCCTTCATCCAACGATTAAAGTTCAGAATGGTCATCCTGGCCTCAATAACTCCCTCACTGAACAAAGCCAGTTGGTTCTCAGTTGTCAATTTAAAGGATACCTACATCCATCTTGCACACAGAAGATTCCTGAGATTCACTGTAGATCATAATCAATACAGAGTGCTCCCCTTCGGCCTTGTGACAGTTGCAAGTATATTCACAAAAGTGTTGTTGAAAGTGGTAGCCCACTTCTGCCACTGGGACTCATCAGCTTTTCCCTGCCTCAACAACATGGTACTTAATCTTCTGTGTTCATTGGGACTTAAAGTAAACATTGAAAAGTCCCATTTTAGTTCCACCATAGACTATATAGATTTTTATCAGGATGATGCTGGATTCTCAATGCCAAAGTTTACCTACCTCAGGACAGACTCCAATCCATAAAGGATCTAGTCACTCAGCTTCAGCTGAGTCCATAGACATCAGTTTGCATGTGCCTCATCTGTCTTAAGACCTATGGCTTCAGTTACTTATGTGATATCCTTCATGAGACTTCACCATCCATGTGTGCAGCCTTGATTAAGGGCAGTCTGTATGCTGAGCAAACACATTCTAGACAAATTAGTCTTGCTCCCCCCAAGAGTGCGAGCTTCCCTCTCATGGTGGGAGAACAAGGAGGCTGTGTGTGCTTGTGGGAGCCCTTTGTATCTCCTCCGCCTGCAAAGAGACTGATCATAGATGCTTCTTTGGTAGTATGGAAAGCCTATCTAGATGAACATGTAGCCCAAGTTACATGAACCTCTCCCTCACAAGAGTTCCAATTGTACATAAATCTCCTGGAGCTATAGCAGTTCACAAGGCCTACAGATGATTTCTTCTGTTCATTCGAATCCTGAATGTTCAAGTCAAGTCAAACAATGTGACAGCAGTGTTCTACATCAACAGACAAGGGGAAGCAAGGTCCACCCATCTTTGTATACAAGCAGTCAATCTTTGGAACTGATATATTTATCACTAGATGGTCATCTCAGCAATGCATCTAACAGGGATACATAAGTTAGCAGACAGCCTCAGCAGGCACTTGCCAGGGATCACAAATGGGAAATACACAATTTGGTGGGTCAGAATGTATTTAGACAATGGAGGTCCCCATCTTGGGCCTTGTTTGCATCTCAGGAGAACAAGAAATGTCCAGCCTTCTGTTCCAGGGGATCTCAAGGTCAGGGCTGTAGGGGAGACACATGTCTGGTTCTATTGTCAGGGCAACTAACATAAGCCTTCCCACCTATTCCACTTTTACCTTAGATTCTAAGAGAGAACAAGCAAGAGGGAGCATTGGTGATCCTGATTTGTTCCCAGGTGGCATAGACAATTCTGGTTTCCCATCATTCTCCAGATGTCAGCACATTCATGCATCCATATCCAGCTCTTCCCAGACCTGTTGATCCAAGACAAAGGCAAGATCAGTCATTCCAGTCCTGCATCCGTACACCTAAATGCCTGGTATTCATTCATATGGGCAACAAACCTAGAAAAGACATGGTCAGAAGCAGTTCAATCCATCTATAATAGTCGTAGGGAAGGAGTCCACAAAAAAGTGCTACATGGCAAAGTGGAAAAGATTTTGTATCTGGTGTCAACATTGTTGGGTAACACCAGAGGATTCTGACATCCCTATCATCTTGGAATATCTCCTCTTCTTAAAGTCATTGGTCTATTTCTTAGCTCCCTACGGATGCATTTAGCTGCTTATCAGCATCTGTCACTGTGCAGTTGACAACCACTTAATCTTCACCCATCCTGTTACAGTACGTTTTCTAAAGGGCTTATCAATAGTACCTTTCTTACGATACTGAAATCTTACCCTGATTTAGGACCTCAGTTGAGTCTTCTCAGCGTTAACAAAGACTTCCTTTGAACCCTTACCCAAATGTTCCTTTGCCCACCTATCAGTGAAGCTTGTCTTTCTGATGGCCGTTATTTTAGCCAGAAGAGTAGGTGAGCTGGAGGTCCTTAAGACTGATCTGCCTTACACAGTCTTGCATAGGGGCAGTGTCTCCCTGAGATTACACCCAAATTTCACCCCCAAGATGATCTCAGAATTCCGTCTAAATCAGATTATTTTCTTACCTGTGTTCTTCCCAAAGCCGCAAGCCTCCAGTGAGGAGAAGTGGCTTCACTCTGGGTGTCCATCAACCTTTGGCATTCTACCTGCAAAGGAATAAGTCCTTTAGGAAATCACCTAGATTGTTCGTATCCTTTGTGGAACTTGTAAGTGATTCATCCCAAAGCCTGTCCAAATGGATTTCTGATTGCATCATACTCTGTTACGAGTTAACAGCAACCTCTTTCCCATGAGGGGTAAGGGACCGCTTGACTAGAACACAGACTGCATCAGTAGCCTTGCTCCAAGAGGTTCCTTTAATGGAAATTTGTAAAGTGGCAACATGGAGCTCTGTTCACACTTTCACAAGACACTATGCCCTGGTGCAGACTTCTGCCAAAAGCTGCATCAGTTGTAGAGCAGTCCTCCAATTAGTGGTAGAGCAGAGGTCCTTGCATGCTTTTCCTCAATGAATACTGCTTGTGAATCACCCATGGTGGGATACACATAGGGGCCTTCACTCAGAGAAAGAAAGGTTACTTGTCTTTAAGAACTCCAGTTACATTAAGGTGTGTGGTCCCTGTCTGTATTCCACTATACGCCCTCCTTTCCCTCTGCTGCAGAGCATTGCTAAGGTTTTTCATTGTAGAAAGGTACTGGAGAGGCAGTCGGTTGGTCCACACTGTCTCTTATGCCCTTGGTTTGGAGCATAAGGAGGATAGGGGTACAGGTGTGCTCCAACAGACACTGCTTGCAAGAATCTTCTGGTGTGAGACGTGGGGCACATGCATTCCTGCAGTCTAATACAGATAGGTACCACACAACTTGAAGAACTCTAGTTACTGTAAAGTAAATAACCTTTCTTTCTGTGCCTGGTGCTAGAGCAGCTAATATAGTTTAATGACTTTTGTGTTTCCAGGAGGTGGTACTACGGATGCTTAATGGAACAACAATCTATATCACCTAGGTGGAATAAAAAGCTATACCTGGGTGTCAAATATTCCAGTTCAGACTTTTGTACACACATGTTTAGAGTAACCCTTTGGTATTGGAGCCCATTTCTTAGTTAGACATTCAGTCCCACCCCTTTTTAATTCTCATCCTCTGCTTAGTAGCATCAGTTGATTCTAGTCACAGGTTAGGATGCCAACTGATAAAGCCACAGCCCAATGGTGCTTCTTAGATTAATTTGCAGGGAATATTCTAAAAGTGGAAAGTTTATTTTTCTCCTTTTGTTTTGGGGAAAAAAACTTTCTGATCTATGGTCTTTCTCCTAGCAGTACTTCAGACACTCACTGTGCTCCTGTGCTGGTTGGGTATATTTTTGAAACTGTACCATGTTATAATAACTTGTTCAAATTACTGGCATGCTCTCTGCATTTGGTGCTCTAATTACGCACCTTTTGTTGTCTATTGCTGAATTAATTTTGCACTGTTTAACAGATAATGTATGACTTTTCACGTTATAGTTCTAATAATTGGAACTATGTTATTATATAGTGAATTTTCCGGAACCAAGACTAAAGGGGAGGATATCTTTTGCCATTATAAAAATATTTGTAAACTTTAGTTGGACGTCTCTTGACTAAGCAGGAGAGGTAGAAAGCTTAAGTTAAGCAGGGAGTTAGAGTTTGTCAGGTGCTTTTCAGTGGCCTGAAAATCTATTTTGATTTTACCACTTTACATTTCCACATTGTTTTATTGTTTGTTTTAACTATCAATAAAGGCTTTATTACTTCAGTGGAACTCCTTATTTTTGGTCCTGATTCAGCAAGGTACTTAAACGTGTTTACGTTTGCAAGCAGTCCCTTTGAAGTCAATGGGAGGGAATGCTCATGTGCTTAAAAGTTAGGCACATGCTTCTTAAGTGGGCCTTAAAAGGGCTTCAAGGTTGGACCTAAACCTGTACTTCAACATTCTTCTTGATCTATAGGGGATTTTCTGTCCTTTAGGATACATCCAGTTGAATCCTAGTGAGTTCCTGGGGCGGGATGAAGAGATCTTCCTTTTCTATAGAATAGGAAGAATTTTATGGCTGCAAGGGGATGGATTGATTTTTTTCATACATACCATCATTCATTTTTGTGTGTAACTTCTAAATGTCTGTATTATATGTAAAAATGCTTAGTTTTTTCTTTTTCTTTTTCATTTTTTTTTTTTAAACAGGATGAGTGTTACCAAGTTAGACAAATATTTGCTCAGAAACTCCACAAAGGCCTTTCCCGACTACGGCTCCCTCTGGAATATATGGCCATTTGTGCGCTGTGTGCAAAAGACCCAGTGAAGGAAAGAAGAGCACATGCTAGGCAGTGCCTTGTGAAAAACATAAACGTGAGAAGAGAATATCTGAAGCAGCATGCAGCAGTGAGTGGTAAGAAAAATAAATAAAAGTAATTCTCAGCAAATGCAAATACAAGTCTGCTAGCTTGTATGCAGACCCTGACTAGGCTGTAAAAATAGTGATTGATTTTTGCATAGTATTTCAGTAAATAAAAAGTAACTCTAAATTTGTAATAAATTTCATTTAAGAGATATCTCAGCTAATGAAAGGTTATACACATTTTACAACTAATTTTGCGTAACACAAGTTGTTAAAATAGAGTATACTGTTACAAAAAAGTATTACAACCTTTTTAATGAGGTGTTTGCTCAAAGTTAGACTGTAAATTAAAATTCAAGAGCTAATGTAAAGGTATTGTTACATACGACAGCATTATGAACAAAGTGTTCATTTTAGTTTAGATTTAGTTCAGTTTTAATTTAGATTTTAGTTCATTAGTTAATAGGAAACAAGATTAATGGTTTAAAAGCACATGGTGTCAAATTTGTCTGGCCCTTGTGCTGGTGTGTTCCAGAGCCTTCCTTCTAATCCTATGTGTGTCCTACAATTGTAGTCTCCGGCACTAAGGGAATTATGGGGACTGGTCCTTCCCCCATATACCATGGCAGTTTAGTGCTTAATATGTTTTATGAATCATTACGGAGAGAGACTAATTAAGGCTGTAGCTAGTTTTCCACTATAATGCCAGTTTGGGCCCATATGCCTAATTTCACCAGAATTAAATAAACATGTGAAAATGGCCATAATAATCTGTTGCCAATGTAGGACCTTTTTAGAAATGTTAAGGCAACTTGGATAATTTTAGATTTTGTTTAAAATAACTTCTTTTTTAAAGTTTCCCTTTGATTCTTCGATTGGCCTGTGTTTTTGGCTTGTCCTAGGATTGGCTAAATCTATTTTTTTCTGTATGTTTCAGTGGCAACTGGTATATTTGACTAATTTAGGAAAATTTGGTGGATTAATAATTTATTATATACAGTGGTCGTGAAAAATGTGAGTCCTATGTAGGGATTGTAAACCCTACATTGGGCAAAGGTTTGCAGATTGTTCTTTGAGTTCTGAAGACTTCAGGGTGGGGATTAGTAACAAAAGGATTCCTGCACCACAGCAATCATTGGAATGTTTTATAAACATAACTATAGAAACTTAAAGAAATTCTAAGACCAGTATATTTAAGGCCATGAAAATATGTATCGGTAATGTCAGAGGAAAACGTTAAAATAAGTCTGTGGTTAATGAAAGCTAATCCATTAAGAAATTAGAAAATGTAAAGGCAAGATTATAATTTTAAAAAATGTACAAGTATGTAAATCAATATCAAGCTCAACCAAACAGCCTTTGTTGGGCCAATATCTCCTCCACACACCACTTAAAGTCAATAGGCACCCTGTACCACCTCATGCTTCTGTACAAGAGTGTAAAAGGCAGAACAGCCACCATCATCCCTCAATTACCTCTTCCCTCCCAGGGCAGCAAGATGAAACTCTAGTAGGAGAGGTTTAGGTTAGATATTAGGAAAAACTTTTTCGTTAGGAGGGTGGTGAATCACTGGAATGGGTTACCTAGATAGGTGGTGGAATCTCCTTCCTTAGAGGTTTTTAAGGCCCAGCTTGACAAAGCTCTGGCTGGGATGATTTAGTTGGGGATTGGTCCTGCTTTGAGCAGGGAATTGGACTAGACGACCTCCTGAGGTCCCTTCCAACCCTGAAATTCTTTGAATGTCCAATCTGCTGGTTCTGAAATCAAGCTAAACTTCTTTGAAATATTCTTCAAATCGTTAGAACCATTTTTGAGATCCTGTTTTGACTGTCATGAACTGATAACTAGCTGTCTGGATCAAACTTTGTTTGATCTGACCCTCCCTATCGCAGGGCTTTTTAAATGGTGGATTTGAAACCTGTAGGCTTGAAGACCGTCCATCCTACGATGGACTAGTCTCTCTGCAAGAGACTCAGATGCTTACAGATTGACTGTCTGATACATGAGCTGGCCTCAGGTCTTGCACCAGGCCCAGTGCTCTCTTATACGATAGTTATTTCATCTAGGCCACATTTCCCTATTTTATTTATAAGAATGTCATGTGGCACTGTGTCAAAAACCTTATAAAATCAAGATAAGAACATAAGATATATCACATCTACTACTTTCCGCCATCCACTGGGCCAGTAACCATGTGAAAGAAGAAAATAAGGTGGGCTTGGCATGATTTGTTCTAGTCCAATCCATGTTGGCTATTACTTATTACCCTATGAGCTTCTAGGCACTTAAGACTACTTTGAAGAAGAGACACTAAGGAAAGACCCAGCACCAATATCAAAACTGACCTCAGCTTTTGACACTAAACCTGGTAGTAACATCTCAGGTGTTGAAGTCAAGTGCTGAAAGCAGACAGTCTGAGCACAAAGGCAGAAGCTCAAGAAGGAACTCAGTGAGCTCCTGTGTGGGGACAGACATAGCAAAACCTCAGAGTAAAATTGTCCAAGCCCCACACAGCATCAAGGAGCAGACTGCAGTGCAGCAGTCTCTACCGCAGTGACCTCCGCATTGATGCCGGCCTGGAGGCATCAGACTCGTGCAAACCCAGGTCCATTGTTGGCACCAAGATGACCGTCAGCACCAGTACAGAGTTAGTGCGTTGTACGTTGATGCCATCCCTAGAGGAATTCTACTCCTCCGAGCCTTCACCAGGGCGGACGTTATTCTCCATGTCCTCAACCAGAGACCCTTCCCCTCTCAGGTGTGCCATTGAGAGACCTGCAGTCCTCAGCCACCACTGGCCCACCAAGCCTGCTGTTGGTCCAGCCAACAGCATGGGGTCATCTGTACTCATACAGTGTGTCATGGCCTTGTTGGGAGTAATGGGCTTGCCTGCACAGGCATCAAGGAACTAATCAAGGGGTCAACAAACGTGGACAAAGGTGATCTCATGGATATAGATTTTCAGAAAGCCTTTAACAAGGTCCCTCACCAAAGACTCTTGAGCAAAGTAAGCTGTCATGGGATAAGAGAGAAGGTCCTCTCACAGATCAGTAACTGGTTAAAAGATAGGAAACAAAGGATAGGAATAAATGGTCAGTTTTCAGAATGGAGTGCGGTAAATAGTGGTATTCCCCAGGGGTCTGTACTGGGACCAATACTCTTCAACATGCTCATAAATGATCTGGAAAAAGGGGCAAAAAGTGAGGTGGCAAAATTTACAGATGATAAAAAGCTACTCAAGATAGTTAAGTTCATAGTAGACTGCAAAGAGTTACAAAGGGATTTCACAAAACTGGATGACAGGCCAACAAAATGGCAGATGAAATTCAATTTTGATAATTGAAAGTAATGCACATTGGAAAACCTAATCCCAACTATACATATGAAATGATGGGGTCTAAATTAGCTGTTACTACTTAAGAAAGAGATCTTGGAGTCATTATGAATAGTTTTCTGAAACTATCCATTCAATGTGCATTAGCAATCAAACAAGCTAACAGAATGTTGTGAATCATTAGGAAAGGGATAGATAATAAGACAAAATATGATATTGCCTCTATATAAATGAATGTATGCCCACATCTTGAATACTGCATGCAGATGTGGTCACCCCATCTCAAAAAAGATGTATTAAAATTGGAAAAGATACAGAAAAAAACAAAAATGATTAGGGGTATGGAATAGCTTCTATATGAGGAGAGATTAATAAGACAGAGACTTTTCAGCTTGGAAAAGACATGACTAAGGGGGATATGATAGAGATCTATAAAATCATGACTGATGTGGAGAAAGTAAATAAGGAAGTGTTGTGTACTCCTCATAACACAAGATCTAGGGGTCACCACATGAAATTAATAGGCAGCAGCTTTAAAACAAACAAAAGGAAGTATTCCTTCACATAGTGCAGAGTCAACCTGTGGAACTCTTTGCCAGAAGATGTGAAGGCCAAGACTACAACAGGGTTCAAAAAAGAACTAGATAAATTCGTAGAGAATAGGTCCATCAATGGCTATTAGCCAGGGTGGGCAGAGATGGTGTCCTCAGCCTCTGGTTGCCAGAAGCTGGGAATGGATGACGGGGCATGGATCACTTGATGATTACCTGTTCTGTTCATTCCCTCTGAAGCACTGGCTTTGACCACTGTTGAAAGATAGAATACTGAGCTAGATGGATCTTTGGTCTGACCCAGTACAGTAGAACCTCAGAGTTATGAACACCTCAGGAATGGAGGTTGTTCGTAACTCTGAAATATTTGTAAATCTGAATAAAACATTATGGTTCTTTCAAAAGTTTACAACTGAACTTTAACTGTATACAGCTTTGAAACTTTACTATGCAGAAGAAAAATGCTGCTTTCCTTTAATTTTATATAGTTTACATTTAACACAGTATGGTAGTGTATTTCCTTTTTTTTTTTTTAATCTCTGCTGCTGCCGGATTGTGTACTTCCAGTTCCAAATGAGGTCTGTGGTTGACTGGCCAGTTCATAACTCTGGTGTTTATAACTCTGAGGTTCTACTGAATGGCTGTTCTTTATATGTACGTTTACATAGCCTCCACTCAGCTCACAGGAAGTACCTAAGATTCATGGTGGGGCCCAATCATTACAATACAAGGTTCTGCCCTTCAGACTCTCCACTGCACTGAGAGTTTTCACTGGTGGTCGTGGTAGCACATTTAAGGAAATGGAAGATCCATGTATGCCTGTATCCGGACAACTGACTGATCAGGGACAGGACACAGCAGGTGATTTAAATAGCCTCAGATTGTGTCCTTTCACTTTTATCTCAACTGGGACTCCTTGTGAACTGTGAGAAATAATCTCACACCATCACTGATAAGATTTTATAGGAATTTTGATCAGCTCTAGATCTGAAAAAGCCTAACTGCCAAATGACAAGTTCCAATCTCTTCAGTCCACCAGTATATGACCTACAGGCAAGACTATGACTGTTTGTGTGTGTCTGAGACTCTTAAAGCCCTAAATCAGCATACAAGTACATGCCAGATTTTACCTTCAACACTTATAACTGTGGCTGAGGTCCTTTCACACATCACATGAACAGGATGATCATAATCTTACCTCAAGTCCTGTGAGAGCTTGCTTTGAGGAAAGGGTGACACCTTCTGTCCCTCTCCCCAACAGTAACTCCTCTCATGGATGCTGCAGAGCCGACTGAGATGGTTACTTGAACCACCTTCAGATGCAAGGCACGTGGTCTCAAGATGATTTGAAACTACATATGGATGTCTTGGAGCTGAGGGTAATCAGATTAGCCTATATAGCATCTTGCCCATTCTGTGCAACTCATGGTTCACATCTTGATGAACACCACATTGGTAAGGCACTATATAACTAACAAGGAGATGCTCAGTCATCTCCTTTTTGCCAGGAAGGCTTCAAGTTCTGGGACATGATCCCACTAACTCTACACCTGTCAGGGGTCTACAGTAGATTTCCTGAATAGAAATGTGGTAACCAGTCATGAGTGGTCACTGTGGGAATTCTATCCTAGACCCAATATTCTGTCAGTGAGAAACTCCCACCACAGACTTGTTTGCCACAGTGGACAACATCAAGTGTCCAAATTTCTGCCCCAAAGAAGGTGAGAGCCCTGGCTTCCTGCTAGATTCCTTCATCTTTTTTGTGGTCTCAGGGCCTCCTGTATGCTTTACTGCCAGTTCCCCTGATTTCACCCGAGCCCATGAATAATATTTAAAATCAGATGACAAGACCTTGATCATCATGATAGCCCCATACTGATATGATAGCCCAAGTGGTTTTGTTTGTTGGACCTGTTCTAGATTTCCAAGCAGCCTCCCATATGCCACCTGGCTTACCTAGACATAATATCCCAGAACCTCAGACAGATGCTGCACCTGCAGTCATTGTACTTGATGGCTTGGATGTTGACTGACTGACAGCACTGTTGTAAAAGATTGTGCCCTACAAGTTCAGGAAATTCTTGTGCGGAGGAGGAGACCTTGCACCACAAAGACTTACTTGAATCTTGGATTACATAATACTTCTGAAACAAACTGGGCTAGCATTTAACTCCCTTAAGGTTCACCTTGCCACAATATCAGCATGTCATACTCCAGTTCATATCCTCTGGTATCGAAATTCCTAGAGCCTTCTTCATACTTGTGCTCCAGTCAGAGACCCAATTCTCATGTGGGACCTTAGAATCATCCTTTTAAAGCTTATAGAGCCTGCCTTTGAGCTGCTGTTGAAATGTTCAACATGCCCTCTGAACTATCAGGATGTCTTTGTCATGGCCATTACCTAGGCATGGAGAGTCAGCGAACTCCAAGCCATTGCAGCTGGCACCTTAAACACCCTGCCACAGGAACAAAGTGGTGATGAGACCACATCCCAAGTTCATCCCGAAAATAGTCTCGGAATTCTATCTGAACCAATCCATCACCTTACCAGTCTCCTTCCCGATCCACACTCGACACCGGGAGAGAAGAAGCTGCATAGTTCAGATGTCTCCAGAGCCTTGCTTTATTACCTTAACAGGACCAAGCCTTTCAGGTTCTCTCTCTGCCTCTTTGTAGCCATATCAGGCCAAGCTAACTCAGAGACTCTCAGTGGGTCACGGAGTATATTTCCACCTGCTATCAATTGGGCTGCCAAGCCTCTCCCACTGAACATCAAAGCACATTCCACCAGGGCACAGGTGGCATTATTAACCTGCTTCAGAAACATGGTACTTTCTGAGATTTGCACGGTAGCAGTACATGAAGCAACCTGCTTACTTTTGTTCAATATTATGCCCTTGACATGGCAGACAGGTCAGACCCCTGTTTAGGAGAGCAGTATGCAATCACCATTTGATTGATACAGCTGAAACTCCTCATTCCCACCATCCAGGGAGGTTACTGCATGCCAGTCACTTATGCTGGAATCCACACCAAGACATACTTGAAGAAGAAAGAACAGTTAATTACCTTACAGTAACTGGTTCCTCGAGATGTAGTTATTGTAGATATACAGTTTGCCCTTCTGTCCCTGCTTTTCAGAGTCCTCAGTTGAACTTTGAGAGAAGGAGGGTCACGCCTGTCCTGCCCTTTATGTCCTCATACAGGAGAACAAGCGAGGCACAAGGCACATGTGAGGCCTCAATAGACAGTCAAAAAATCAGTTCTTGTGAGCATGAGGTGCAAGTGCACTTATTGTAGGATCCGTACAGACTACAATATCTCAAAGAACCACAGTTACTGTAGGATAAATAACTGTTCTTTATGTCCACCAAACCACCACTAGCCTATATATTAATGCTGACTGACTTTATATAGTGCTCTTTGAATTTTATGTAAAGGCGCAAAAAAAAAAAAATCCTGAACTAATATACAGATTTCTAACACAACTGTTTTCCTTTTTTTTATTCTATTCTGTACTTTCAGAAAAACTATTGTCACTTCTACCAGAATATGTTGTTCCATATACTATCCACCTTCTGGCACATGACCCAGATTATGTGAAAGTCCAGGATATTGAACAACTTAAGGACATTAAAGAGTAAGACTATTTCCTTTGATATTCTTTTTTCCGAGGATTTCTAAGGCCACGTCTATGCTAACACGTATGCCAGCAAATTTTTTATCACTTATGGATGTGGAAAAAACAATCCCCATGAGTCACATGAATTTTGTGGCATACGTGCTTGAGTGAACAGTCCTATGTCGGCAGGAGAGGTTCTCCTGCTGACATAGCTATGGCCTCTTGTTGGCATAACACTGCTACACAAGCGATTTCACAGTGGCACAGCTGTATCGGTACAGCTGTGCTGCTGTAAGCTTGTAAGTGTAGACATGGCCTAAGATCTAACTTGTCACTTTCTGAGATAATTCCATGATAGCTTTTTACGTTACAGATACCATGATAAATTGTCCAGTACATAATTATGAAGAGTAATTATTTTCTTAAATTGGTATAAAAAATACTAAATATTCCTAGATCATATTGGCTGTTTAACTCAATGGTGATAGGCATTTGGGGACCGTTCAATGTCAGTAATGCATTTTTCTGTTCTTATGTTTGGTTATTCCTTCCCAGTATCTTTAGAAAATTTGAAGATGAATTCATTCCCAAAAGCCAAACTGATCAGTGGATGAATTCAAGTTAAAGTAAACTGTATTCTTAAACTAGATCTTTTCAAGGTTTCTTTGACAGTTTTTCTTACTGTACTTAATAAGGAAAACTATTTTTCCCCTTAGGTGCCTGTGGTTCATACTGGAAATACTGATGTCTAAAAATGAAAATAATAGTCATGCGTTTATCAGAAAAATGGTGGAAAACATTAAGCAGACAAAAGATGCTCAAGGACCAGATGATCCAAAAATGAATGAAGTATGTTTTACCTTTAGTGAAAGTTGCTTATTTATTCCAATATCATGAAACTGAGGCATTTTTAGACGCCTATTTTAAAATATGTATATTTCTCAATAGAATTATATATAGAAGGCAATAGGTTTTCTGTACACAAGAATCAAAACTATGGACTTACTTTAGGTTAGGTGTCCTGTTACTTTACTTGGCTTCAGTAGATGCCTATATTCTTCAGAAGCTAGTTGGAATTGTCAGGAGCCTTTTATCTTTCTTTTTAAAATTAGTTTCAATAAACCATTTTCTTTAAATATGCATAAAATATCTTTACTGGTATATAAGTTTAAGTTCTGGCAAGTTAGGGTTAAGTTCTATAATGTGAGGCTTTTCTATTTTGCAACAATGTTCAAAAATTGCAGTGTAGTACCAGTAAACAGTTTCTTGAACATTTATTTTAAAAATATGCACAAACCAAATTTCTCTAACTTGCATTAATAACACAAACATGTCAGTTATTTGGATCGCTTCATGTGTTTATGTAAATCACGTGATATATTCAGATTCTGAAGAATGTAAGCTTAATTTTTTTCTCCCTAAATAAGTTTTAACTCTCACGGTTGCACAAAAACACCCGACACAACACCTCACCTTCCAGATGAACTGAGTATAAACTGATTGTGTCTTTCTTTTACTGTAGATAGCCTGAAACAGTGATTGAGAGTTGCAGACTCCCAGTCACCCCCATAATCTCATTTGGGGTATTAACTCTCTTGCCTAATAATGACATTTTAAATTTTAGTATTAACTATACAATTCTAATCATTTTAATGGATGGATTGAGGAAGGATGTAGGAATGAACTCCATGTAGTCAGTGTGTGTCACTGAACAAATAAACTTTGTACTTCACATTTATTAGGTACTACGTAAAGCCAACATCTACCCTTGTTTTTGTAAATATTTCCCATTGACACAGTGGGAGATCTGTGGATTGAGGAATGGGTATACAGTCCTAAATATGTCTCCCATGCACCCTATGGACCATAATTGAAAATGGAATTTAGTCCTCCCCATAGTATGAGTTTGACACCCCTTCTACAATGCAAAAACTTTAGTATTCCTGTTTATGTAGCGTAGACATGCACTAGTTAGGTGTGTGATGTGTTATGTACATGGGAAAAGTGTGAGGTTGCTATTAAGGTTTTGTGTTAGAGTGTGAGATGCAGGAATTTGGTATGTATTGTTTCTGTGGGAATTTGGAGAGGTGGAGCGTATCACAGAGTAGTTAATGTGATGTGTGGATAATGTATGTTAAAGATAATTCACTTAACAGGACACTTCTTTACTTGTATGGAATTTTGTTGGGGATGGAGGTTGTACTTCGCAACTATTACAATGATCAGATGGCCTTTGTTTGTGGGAATATATGTATTATATACTACATACATCTCCCAGATTATTGTGTTTATTATTAGCATTACAGTAGCATCGAATATATTGTAGACATATTATAGGCTGAAAGCAACAGAGTCCTGTGGCACCTTTAAGACTAACAGATGTATTGGAGCATAAGCTTTCGTGGGTGAATGCCCACTTCATCAGACGCATGTAATGGAAATTTCCAGAGGCAGGTATAAATATGCAGGCAAGAATCAGCTGGAGATAACGAGGTTAGTTCAGTCAGGGAGGGTGAGGTCCTCTGCTAGCAGTTGAGGTGTGAACACCAGGATTCTTACAGTTAAGGTTGCCTAACAGTTCCAGCTAAAAACCACTGTTTTAGTTGCTTATAAATTTCCCATGTCTGATATGGGCTTGATATAAAGTTCCAGTGGAAATAGTTCATCCCTTTCTGAGAACAAGGTTAAGCATTTTTTCCCTCAGTCATTTCTTTGAAGAGCTCTAGGGCTTTGTGCTTTGAAATGGAAACTTGGAATTTGGCTGAGACACACCCTAGTGTCAAGGAAGTACCTCTTGCTGTTCCCATGAAAAATCCACCCAGGTTACTACAGTGCATGGGTGCATAAACAGAGTGCTGTTAAGTGGATGGTTTACACAAGCCAGACTAATTAGTGTAGACAGACTGAATATTTTCAGAAATCACATTTAACTGTACTGTTTTAATCTTGAAATGTACAGTTTTCTAATGTAGAGACCCCACAAGAACCAGCTCCGTTTGACCAGATAGTTTGATCACTCAGGTAGCAAAGAAACCCTTTGGACTTTGAATCATTTCCAGTATGCCTCTAAAGTGGCTAAAAATTTCAAATGAACTTATACTTGTTACTGTCAAAATTAAGGGTGATGCCAAGTCTGTTTAAAAAAAAAATAACTCATTTTTATTTTGTAACAGAAACTCTACACAGTTTGTGATGTAGCAATGAATATCATTATGTCAAAGAGTACAACATACAGTTTGGAATCCCCTAAAGACCCAGTACTTCCAGCTCGATATTTCACGCAGCCTGACAAGGTATAATTTAGGTTTTTGGTTGGATTTTTTTTTTTCAAATTAAATTGCACTAAAGATTTAAATAGACTGGTTGTTTTCATCTGTTTTATTACAATAGAGCTCTTGTAATTTACATAGTCTCTTTTTACTTATGATCCCAATAATGTCTCAAGTCAATGCACGTGTGGTATCTTAAATGTTCAGATTTAGCATTTAAAAAACATAAATGGTTTGAAAAAATTTAGTTTTTTTAAAAATTGCCTGTTCCACTTCATAAACCTATTTTTATAACTTGTTTATTGATTGACCTTTCTTTCCTTCTTTATTCCCTTGCTTGCAGAATTTCAGTAACACCAAAAATTATCTCCCTCCGGAAATGAAATCTTTTTTCACTCCTGGAAAGGTGTGTTTTTTTTATTATTACCTCTCTGTTTTTTTTCAACTAATCTCTCCCAATAGGCTAACCATTGCACAGGCACAAAAGGAGGCATGGCCCCTGCCCCAAAGGGCTTAAATTCTTTAAAAAAAAAAAAAAGAAAAGAAAAAAGAAAAACACATCCCACAAAACAGGGACAGAAGCTGGTGGGGGGAGAACACGTAACAGTAAGGTGGTTGTCTCCTGATAATACAAAGTTTAGCAAACTTGTAAAATGTTTGGGGATTTTTTTTTAAACAATGTTATATTTCTAAAAAAATTTATAGTAGACTAAAACTGTATGAAATATGAACTAGAAATAATGGCAACAAAGTTAAGAAAATTATACAGGGGAATCTCAAGTTGGAGTAAGGAGGTTATATTACTTCTGTATTTGGTACTGGTGCAACTGGAATACTGTATCCATTTCTGGTCTCCACCAGAAGGATGTTGATAAATTGGTGAGGGTTCAGAGAATGACTAAAGGATTAGAAAACATGTTTTATAGTGATGGATTTTGGAATCTCAGTGTAGTTTAACAAAGAGAAGGTTTAAGGATAATTTGATCACAATCTAGAAATATCTACATGGGAAACAAAAATTTGATAATGGGCTTTTCAGTCTAGCAGGCAAGGTATAACAAGATCCAGTGACAGAACATTGAAGCTAGTCAAATTCCCATTGGAAAAAGGTGCAAATTTTTAAGTGATAATTAGCCATTGGAATAATTTACAAAGGGTTGTAGTGGAGTCTCCATCATTGGAATTTTTAAATCAAGATGGGATTTTTTTTTCTAAAAGATATGCCCTAGTCCAAACAGGAATTAATTCAGGGACATTTTATGTCCTGTGTTATGCAGGAGGTCAGAGTAGGTGATCACAGTCGTCCCTTCTGGCCTTATACAATGGTCAGGAATGGCAGAGCTGAAAATGGGCCAGTACAGCATACCGGTAAGAAGTGGCCGCCAGTACGGGGCCGCACGCAGTCCCTGGTAGAGACCCTAGGCAGCTGATGGGGGGGAGGGGAAAAGGGGCAGCTGCTCTGGGGCCCAGCGATTTAAATCATAGCCAGAGCCCCTGGCGGCGCGGGCCGGGCAGCGCAGAAGGTCTGGCTGGGGGAGGCTTACTTTCACCCCTGAGGAATGGTCTAGGTATATTTGGTCCTGCGTCAGTGCAGGGGGTTGAACTAGATGACCTCTCAAGGTCCCTACCAGCCTTACATTTCTATGATTCTATAATGTAGGAATCTATAGTCCAGTTTTGGATTGGAGCCCAGTCCAGCCCCTGTAAGGCTCCCTTGCTCTAAGGGCTGCCTTTGTGTTTCTGCCTGAGTTCCCCAGGCAGTGCTGCATCTTGCACAGTGGAGTCAAGACACCAAACTAACAAGTGGTCATAGAAACGACAATTGGGGCCAAGTAACCAACCAGTAAAAACTTCTGACAGGAGTCCCGTCTCTCTCATTACAATAGATAGAACTGTTGCATGCAAATTGGGTGCAGATGAATGGTAATGTTTAATTGTGTTATCTCTAATGTCTGAGCTAAATTAAGAATGATCTGACCTGTTGACATGGCCCTGCCTATAATCAAATCTTAGATACAACAATTGGTGTTAATTTAGCTTAATTATAACCACATGTCTTCAAAAGTAGCCTATACACAAGATTTAAATAAGTTTTAACTGTATGAGAAGTTTGAAGAGTTTTTCTCATTGCTAAGATCATTCAGGACAAAAGGGGGTCTGAAGTGGTGCTAAATTTCTTAAAGGACCTATTTGTTGATTGATGTTAAATAAAGTAACAGATTTACTTGTACATTCTGAGAAAAATTAATACTATATACAGAGAATAACGCAATTGTGGGAAGGATATTTTATGGTCTTCATACACAACAGAGTGAATCCCTTCTGTAAGTGTAAAACTCAGTTCAACCTTAACTTTGGAGGCACAACGAGCACCTCCATAAGACACACATTCTGTCTACAGGATCACTGATAACTAACTGTCTTTGGTAAAGCTTGCATGTTACACAGCTTCATCATTCAGTGTAGTGAGCTAGAGTCAGGGAGTGGTTTAATATTAAACAGTCTTGTAATGAAAAAGTAAATAATGGATTATACTGTCATCCATAAGAGAGTAAGAATAGTTATGTTCTTTTATATGTATTATCTCTAGCAGGTTTTCAAATTTGTCTCTCTAGTTAGGCATCTAGGTATGTGACTTAATACTGAGAGTGACTTAACCTCTTTAATACAAGTTTAAGTCAGTGGGAGCTGAAGGTACTCTGCCCCACTGAAAATCAAATCACTCTTTATTGAAGTGCTAACCTAAGATCCAATCATGTTTGGAAATTTTGGCTCCCCGGCTGAAATCTTAATCTCACTGAAGTCCGTAGCAAAAATCTCACTGATTTTAATGGGGTCAGGACTTCATCCCAAATGTTTTGCTTCTGAACCTATTTTTTCCTCATGGAAATCGTAGTCTCTGCTACCTTCCATTTGGCTTCAGTTGTAACTTTTTTTTCTTTTTCTTTTTGCTTTTTAAGTAAACTGTGTTCTAATAAAAAAAAAAGACACTGGTGATTGTAGAATGTGTGCAGGTTGCATGCAAACATTTTAAGCTTAGTACATGTTTGAGACTAGTTTTGTAACATACTAAATATGTAGATTAAAATAAAAAAAATATTTTTTGTTTCAGCCCAAAGCAGCCAATGTTCTTGGAGCAGTTAATAAGCCTCTTTCGGCAGCAGGCAAGCAGTCCCAATCCAAATCTTCACGAATGGAAACTGTAAGCAATGCCAGCAGCAGTTCAAATCCAAGCTCTCCAGGAAGGATCAAAGGGAGGTGGGTATACAGCAGTGCAGCTTTGATGCTCAAGTATTTTTATGAAAGCTGCAAGGGTTTCTATAATATTGGTTAAAAGTGCTAGACTGAATTCTATTCTCTTGTGTTGGTGTACATCCAGAATAACCAGCACACTAGTATAACTGAAACCAGAATTTGGCTCACTACCACAATAAAAATAGATAAGTTTTTTTTAAAAAGCAGTCCAAACACATTACATGAAAGCAAGCTAAATTCAAATCATCATGTACAATGTAAAATAAAAAGCAACCCACATTCAGTTATAGATCTGGGGTTCCCATCAAGCTTGTGTAGTAAACAGTAATTCTAGCTACATCATCATCTCCCATTGAGTCTGAGAGTTTAAGGACGTGTGAGCTCTCTCATGATCTAAGATTTTTGGTAGACTGTCCTGTGGTGGTGAATTACGTTGCCTCTGGACACCTGACAATGTATTACCTTTTAATTTGTAATATTAGTTTTAATGTGACCAGTGGTTTATAACTAAAGAATTTGTGAGCGGTTGATGAAGGCGATTGATTGCATATATTGGAGCACCTGCTGGAAGCACCATGTTGAACAATAATTAAGAAGGAATGCAAGTAGTATATGGAAATAGTTGTTCACTGAAGACAGACTGGAGGCCAGTTTCTTCCCTGCTCCAGTGAGTAAACTCAGTCTGTTAGGCTAATAATATAGCTAGATTCAGATTGTTGAGCAGTCTTCTCATTGTTGCAATGCTACAAAATGTATAGCCTGGACTGTAATCTTATCAGATCTTACAAGTTGAACAGGGCCAAGCTTGGTCAATACTTGAATGGAGACCTCCAAGGAAAAAACAAAATACTGCACAAAAGGATGCTAATGACTCAATAGGTATCACTCCTCTTTGTGATCAGTACTGATCACAATCTACCAGTATGATGGCAGGACATTGCAACACAGTATATGTATATAGTCTTTGAGATGAAATATAAAACTGAGCTCTTGATCACTCCTGTCCATTAAAGATCTCATTTGCACATTTTTCTAAGAGTAGGAATAACTACGACAGTCTTCAGACCATATCTTAGAATAAGGAACTATATTCTACATACCTAAATTATCCCTTTGCTCTATTAGATAAGATAGTCTTCACTTCTTGTCCCTAAACAATTGTGCAATGTTTGCTGTGTTAAAATGCCTGCCTCATTCCAGCCCCAAGGTAGATGAAACAAAATGGTCCTCCATATACTATAATAATACTTAGCTCTTATATAGTGCTTTACTTTAGTAAATCCAAAAGTGCTTTACAAAGAAGGTAAGTATCATTGGGAAATAGAGGCACATAGCAGTGAAGTGACTTGCCTAAGGTCACCCAGCAGGCCAGTGGCAAAGCTGGGAATAGAACCCAAGTCTCCTGCTCCCATTCTGGTGCTCTATCAACTAGGCCATAGTGTACACAAAAAATTTAAAAAAAAAAAAAAAAAAAACATGCACTGGTGTGGGGGTGTATTTATATACACACTATATCACTTGTACTTTTGCAAAAAGGACTGTATACATGTTTTTTGCTTGAACTTTGAAAGAGGTACAGAATCCTGTCCTATGATTTAGCCAATCTGCCCCAATATCTGATATGTAAATAATAAAATAATTGCCACCTTAGCTGGGGAACAATCTTAACCGATTTACTTGAGAATCTATGTAAAACAGCTTTAAAGTTACTGTCAGGTAACAAGTATCCAAACACAGCCTTCACTAATTGGAAAAAATACTGTCTCTAGGTGTCTCACTCTTTCACTTTGCACAATTACATGATATATGAACTGTCCTATTTTACTATTGAATTGTTTAACAAGTTTATTATGTTTATCATCTGTGAAGCTAAATGAATTATCTATTCCATCATTTAGATGGTGTAGGATTAAGAATTTTAAGTCTTGAAATTACTATTTTTAAAAATTCTCATCACTGTGTTTCAGTGCCCCCCAGTTTGCCATCAACATCTTCGTTTTGGCTGGGAGTGACAATTTATGCTATGATGTGATGTACTGCCATGTGTCAGCTCCAATAACTGAAGTTGAATGACTTTGCCAAACCTTTTCTGGCTTAGGGCTCAATCATCTTCTGAATTCTAGTCTTGTTGATTAATGTATTATGCAGCTATTAAGCTAAATTCTTATTCCAGAATTTGAATTTTTAATGCATGGTTTTAGAGGAATTTAACATGAGGAAAACTTAGGGGGAAAAAAGTTGATTTCTGAATTAACAGAATATAGCACAGGCAGGAACCGTTTGGTTACATTGTTAACCTCTAACAATATGTATGTAAAAACACAAACATTATCTACCAATATGTCCCTAAAGGTTGAATTTGGGTCATTTATCCTGCAGGATGCTTAATCTTTTCTGCGTTGTGTCACAGAAGTATTGAATTTATTTGACATCAGCCTGATTGGGATGTCATAAACTGAGCATTATGTCTTCACTGCTGAATCAAAGACAGAGGATGGCCTGGGTGATTGACTCTTATTAAAACAGATTTCTTCAGTAATTGCAAAAATGCTGAGGAAAAACCATAAAAAAAAGTGTTATATAAGTCACCCGTTATGATATTGCCAGTGATAGGTGATCTGAAAAATAACTAAAGGTATGCTCAGTTTGCTCTTATTTGTTTTTTAGATTTATTATGTAGACAAAGCTGCTGCCAATTTGACAGTTTAGATCCAAGCAATCACATTAAAATTGTGTTACTGCATTCCTGATATTAAGTGATGATAAATGTCTGCGTTGATAGGCTTGACAGTACTGAGATGGACCACAGTGAAAATGAAGATTTCACAATGGCTTCACCTTTACCAGGAAAGAAAACTGACAAGAGGGACGACTCTGATCTTGTAAGGGTGAGCTGCTTGGTTGTATTGCAGCTATTTCAATTAAATTTAAACTTAATTAACTGAACATTGAACAAATAAGTGTATACAGTCCTTATAACAAGCATTAACTAATGTAGTTTTGTAAACTCCCACTTTTACATGGAGTTGAGCTAATGTCCATGATGGTCAATGTGGTTATGATATGACA